ACGCAACACTATAAATGTGTTGCGTGCCCCAGATTTCTTTCTTGCATAATAAAAACGCTATTCAATATAATTCAACCCTCACTCCGATTTTTTTTTTTTTAAATACATGTATAGGTACTGATTTCGAAAGAAACAGGGCGCGGCCCACTTTCCCGACTTGTTTGTGTCACCTCTGGCTCTTTCTTTTATTTTGTTTCCTGTGTATACTACTTATTACTGATTGCAGGCAAAGGTCTTGGCCTTTGCTCGCCCTCAACAGTTGCAGATTTATGGGGTCTCCTGTCGAGCGTGCTGAAAGACTAATCTCTCTCTCTCTCTCTGTATGTGTGTGTGTGTTGCGCCATTCTTTCTTCTTTTTCACTCACGCACTGTGCTCGCCCTTCTTACGTTCTTTGTTCCTACAATCTTTTTTTTTTTCTACCGAAAAGGCAAGGACATGCAGTCACGTTTAAATTGATCGATGGTGCTTCCCTAATGGTACTAGCGTACAAGCCGTAATGGGGTTTCTGTTTCGGCGAGTAAACCCGGGAAAAAAGAGAGGCGTGTCATTGCTCCCTATAGGGACAGACAAGTTGCTAATTATACCAGCTTATAATGTTATTGTATCCATTCAACCCCTGCTAGCTACCGAATGCATGTTTATGCGTATACATTATCTCACGCTTCGCGAGGTTTTGGCTTGTTTAATATCCTCGATGATTAGGTCAAGGTATTTTATCAGGTCCCCGAATGCCGTACGCTTTCTCTTCGCTCTTTAGCTCGGGGTTCAAGAAAATAATGTCATTTTGTTTTTATTCTTGTTTTTTACGCGAAGAGGTCGGTTTGCACTTGGGATGACGACGCTGGTTCAACGGCGTAGAAGAGCCAGTGTCGTTATTTATACAGGCAGTTCCCGGTTATTCTTTTCGGCGCCGCAAGGGTCCCTGCGCGGTTCGCGAAAAGCCTACTCCGCGCGTCGCATGGTGCAATGAGGGGATAACAGCGAATCTTTTGATACTTTTCTGAAACTATACGAAACTCTCACCGGATGTTTACATTTAAGCCATTATACTAGTCTCACTTTAAATTCCACCGCAGCCGACTCTACAATCTCATGGAGCCAATCGGGCAGCGTTAAAATGCATCGTCATGGCGCTCGTCGTTTTTGTGAGCTTGTTATCATCTGCTAAAGCGGCAGTTTGATACTTTCGCCCCAGGTTCTATAGGGGAGAGAGGGGGGGGGGAGGGGGGGGGGGACCGGGTTGTCGGATGACCAAAACAACATGTTTTTCGTGTAAGGCTTGCCAAAATGTTAGGCGCTGGAGAAGATCAGTTATATGCAATACGCCCTTGTTTCGAACTTTTTTTTTTTTTCAGTTTCTGCTTATTGAGAAACATGGCAAAAGAGCCCAAGCTAATGCCCCTGAATAAAAAAGGTAGCGACATCTTCTCCCTCCTCCTTTGACGCGCACACCTTTTATCTTTATGTTATGCTCTTTTACACCCGCGCGTCGACTGTGGCGCCGCCTAGATCGCTCCAAGATAGCAAACGGCCTTCCTATATTTGGTTTATATTTAAGTTAGAGCGGCAGTCAAAGGCTGAAAGACACGCAAATGCATACACACAGGATAAAAGCGCACTGTCACGGTCTACCAACCACGAAGGACGTGCTCGAAGAAAGACATGAAAACCGTGACGTTGCACAGTCGGCGTTATTTGATTGGCGACACCAGCTCATAGCATGCACTGCACTCCGACAGAATAGGCATTCCTTCAACCTCCTCTTCCCTTATGCACACTCTTATTGTTATATTTCGCTCTTTCGCGCTCGCGCGTCGACGTTAGCCCCGCCTGGGGCCCTAATCTGGACACTTGGCGAAAAAGTCGGCGAGAAATCTGGCGGCTGTGATTGGCCGACGCCGCACTTGACCTTGGCGCCGGCCAATCATATCCCTTAGATTTCTCGCCGTCTTTCTCGCCAAGTGTCCAGATTAGGGCCCCTGGATCGCTCCAAGATGGCAGGTGGCATTCTTCAAAGGATGTCGCTACTTTTCCGTATACAGGGGCTTTAGCCCAAGCGAGCACCTGATCTCGTTACACCACCGTCTCCTTCCGCACAATTAATTCCGTCTGCTAAGGTCACCGAATGGCATTAAACGCGCAGTCGAACGCAGCGTCTGACGCCAGCTACAGCCGCGCCATCCTCCGAATGCCGTCTGCTACCAACGTGGCAACCCTAGCTTGGGCTCCAAGCTAGGCTACCAACAGCACGCGCTGCTCGTGGAGGCCCTCGAGTCTCGTCGGAGCCGCCGAGGGTTCGCCAGGCGACCGCTCTCAGCGTCAGCCTCCAGCCCTCCACAGCGGCGCGTCCGATTTTGGCTAGCGTTACTACAGTGTACTAGAAGTAGCGTTACGGCGTTGAAATTCGCAGACGACTCTCAAAAGATGGTGTCTCCCGTTGCTGGCTTCGCGACGCTGCTTTCCCGTGTTCCTCCAAAAAGAAGACGCTTCGTTGCCATGGTGATGCTGACGATAGCGAGAGCGCTGCATATCCGCAGTAAACTGGCGGATTCGGATAAAAATAAGACTTGGCGGATTGCAGATCGGATGCGGATGCCAGGGGCTGCGGATGCGGATCGGATGCGGATATCTGCGGGCCCGGATTTATTTTTGCCGAGGCGGTCCATAAACGTGTTCTATTGCACAGTGAAGAGTAAAGAAGTGAGTGATACTAGGAAGTGCATCATCGAATGTATTGCGGGGGCAAACTACTCGCTTAGATAAAAAGTGCCAATCGGGGAGAAAATTGTTTTTTACGTCAATGGAGAATTCGATTCTCACCAAAGATCGCTTTAGAACGTATATTTCCCTAAAATTGCGGTGCCTAAAAAAAGTAAAGAATTCAAAAGGACCAGTCGCCCCGAGCGCGTGTATTTGTTTGGCAGGGAAAGAGCAGAAGACGTTCTTTGGGCAAAGAAAATCCGAACATACAAGCCACAAGAAAGTAGAAGAAGCCTGCACTTGGCTTCTTGATTATAATTCAGTTGATTGCATTATAGTGCAATTGATTGCATTCAGTTGCATTATAATCATAACCTTAAAATTCAAGCTTTTCACCTTGTTAGTGTTAGACTGGTGGCAGCTGATAAGAACTGTTTGCTCTACTGACGTCTTACCCCTGGTTAGCTCAGTTGGTAGAGCTCTCCACTGTAAATGTAGAGGTCCCAAGTTTGATACCCGGATCAGGCGGATTTTTTCGGCCGTTCACCAGTTACCTAGCTGTGTTTGGAGATTTGTGCTTGTCATTTGTCCCTCTTGTTCCCCTTCTACGGGGATTATTTTCGTCATACTTGGCTTCGTCGCGTACAAGTGTATCTTGAGGAGACTGAATTCGATCTCTCGAATGGTGGAACTTGCGCCGGCACGAGTTTCATGACCTCATCTTTGGAACGCAGTTCGTGCATGCCATCCCAGCATCAAGTGCACCAACGGAGAGAGTCTTCTCATTAGCGGGTATTAATTTGAGAGGCGAACCAGTCTAGATTTGTCCGAGTGGACGATATTATGTTTCTTCTACACAGCAACCTCAACAAGCGAAACGTTACACGTTTGTGCGTTTTCTTTTTCTCGACAGTTGGCACTGAGTTGTTCTTAAGTACATATTTCCGAGCATGCAGTTGAGGGTTCGTGTTTAAAACTGAAACCGATAGGAGGTGTTGTTCTTATTGAATATTGTGACATATCCTCAATGGTGGACTCGTTCCTCTCCCATTTTTTTATTGTCTGGCAAAAATAAAATGACACAATGCTATTGGTCTGTCCTTCGTCAATTTTCATGTTTGTAAAATATGCGTCTGCTTGAAATAGGTTTTAAAGCAAAAAGAAAAATACATATAAATGTTCTTCTTTTTGAGCGCATTTTCTGGACAGAGTGTAAGTGTCACGGACTCCCACGACGACCTCATAACTGCTATCATCTTTCGAGCGATGCGAAGGGTTTCTGGAAGGATGGTCGCTTATTTTATAAATACGATAAAACAGAATACTAGAAAATGACTTTCACCGTATTCTGGCGAGAAGAGTTCTTTGTAGAAAGGTATAAGCAAGCGGCTTAAGAAACCATCTAGATGCTTTCTTTCTTTCATTTTTGTTCAGGCTTGATTTAATGATGTAAAATGAATGCGCGGATTAAGGGCGAGATGCGGTTCCAAATTTTGCGAATGCGGTTCGGATGCGAATACGAAGTCTGCGGATGCGGATACAATTATTTAAGAACATTGCGGATGCGGTTAGGGTGAGGATACGAAGTCTATGGATGAGGATCGGATGCAGATGATCAAACTGTTATCCACGCTGGACTCTACCGATAGCAGACGGACTTTATCGTGCAAAAGGAGACGGCGGGGTGGTGATATCGGGTGCGTACTTGGGCTTTTGTCGTGCTTTTCAATGGGCCAGTGGGTCAACAAAATGAGTTCAAAATAACGACTTAACGCAGATTGGTGATATTGACCGGCACCTAATATTAGTGAGTTTTAGTATTGCGTATACGAGCAAACGCGAGCGCTGTGCGTTTGCGTTAGCGTTGTGTTTTTCACGATGCGCATGCGCGCAGTCGCCATGCGCCAATCCAAAGGCGCAGTTTGGGCTCCGCGCACGTGCAGCGTGAAACACGCAACGCTAACGCAAACGCACAGGGCTCGCGTTCGCTCCGTATACGCAATACTAAAACTCACAATTTTGACGATCCTTACACGAAAAGTATGTTTTCAGCTCGCAACTTGAACGAGGTTTCTTTGCTGCAACATGGTACAACTGCCGATGTGCCGCTAGAGCAATCCGGCATTGAAAAAATTGCAGGATTATGTCATGTTACACTGTTCGTGATTGATTTAGCCGGTGATAGTAAACCCGTAAAGGCAGCTGAACTTTTGGTGCTGCTCTGTTGGCTCCATCGAGTGGTAGAGTCGACTTGCGGTCGTACATGAAGTGAAGGGAAGTATCCTCCGGCACGCCGCAGGTGCTGACCATCGTGCACCACAGCCTGGAGGAGACGCAGCAGGTGCGGGGCAAGGAGCCGCCGGGCTCTTACTCCCGGAACGTGACGTACGGCGAGGCGACGGAGCAGCACCTGGTGCGCCTCATCGACAGCATGTTCTCGTGCCAGCAGTTCGTCCGCTGGGACTGCAAGGGCGCCATGTTCGGCTTCTGGTACCCGCCCGGACTGGATAGCTGGTCGGTGCACTATACCTTGCCTTACCGTACCTCCTCACCATACCTTATCTTACTATAACTTACCCCTTACCATGCTATGCCATAGTTTACCATACTTTACCGTACCTTACCAAACCTTACCCATTGCATATCTTACCATACCATACCTTATGATACCTTACCATTCCTTACCGTACCATGCTTTTCATACCTTACCGTACCATGCCTTATTTTACTTAACCATACGGTACTTACCTAACATTATCTTACCATACCTTAACTTAACATACATTACCTTACCTTACGATACCTTACCTGTCCTTACCATACCATGCCTTACCTGCCATACCTTACTATACCCTATTATACTTTATTATGCCTTATACCTTACCACATCTTACCTTACCATCTTTTATCATACCTTACCTTACCCTACTTACCTTACCATATATTATACCCTATTCACACGGCTAGCCTAAAGGTACCTTCAGCCTAGGTCCTTTTGCAATCGGCTAATCAGCCCACGTTTTCGGTCACGAGCACTTGGCACGCGCGGAGGATCGCGAACCGATTCGCCTCTGGCCATAAAGGTCACTTAGCTAAAGTTACCTTTATGATTGGTTGAATGGGGTATTATATGTTCACCACACCATACCTTCATAAAGAAAGTTCTGAATGTAGGTCGGAAGAATGTTTCGGTGAGTCGCTGCAGTACCCAATCTCAGAAGCAGCGAAACCGAAAAGGCCTCGTTTACTGCCGCAACAAAAACAAAAAATGACTGAAGACATGCGCGCCCTCCCGATTCTCCAAGGAAGCTGCACACGACGCGTGTTTCCTTTCATATTTGTAACTTCACTGTCATTAAAAGCGGAGTGCAAAATATTCTATTCAGACGGGAAGAGAGAAAGCTCAAGCATACGAAATTTGTTGTGTCACGAAACGATCCTTAAGGCTTGAAAAGGATTTTAACGGTCAGCCCATGGAACAAAATTACTGCACCGGTTCTGTAAAAAAAAAAAAAAAAAAAAAAAAAAAAAGATAAAGAGAGAGTTCATTAACGATGTTGTCCATATTCTGGCAGCTTCCTAGACGATTTTTACTTCAATGAAGGCCAAAGAAAATCCGACAGTTCACAGCTTATAAAGGTTCTCATTAGTGGCATAAAGGTTTGATTGAAGCTCTTCCGTTCTTTTAATATAACGAGCATTAAAACGGAGCATTGTTATTTTTAACATTCATTGTAATAAACGGTAAAAAAATGCACCCTGCGTGTAAGCTTATTTTAGCTCCCTCACATCATGCCTAGATCTGAGCTTCGCTGATCGATGACCTGAAAAGATTGAGACTTGTTAAAGCTTCAGTATAATGTAACTTTGTACCCCATTTTCTCTGCGTCCATCCTAATGCAGCCTCAATTACTAAACAAAGAACAAGTAGGTCGATCTGTATCAAATAAGGAAGCTTTTTTTAAAGCATGACATGTTTTTTGACAGAGCTCCTTTAAACCCAAAATTCTATCCATCCGTTCGTGCATTTTCTGCTAAATTTAGCGGGGAAATTGACGTCACTGGACCTATACGTCATTTGGAGGAATAGACGTCACGCTCTTTATAGGGGAATACAGTTTCCCCGCTAAATATAGCGGAAAATAATTTACGTCTTGTGACCTAAACCTTTTTCATTTGCCCGCTAAATTTAGCGGGGGATATCGACGCCATGGGACCTATACAAGTATAGTTTCTCCGCTAAATATCAATTCCCCTCTTCCTATCCCCCTCCTTCCTTCCCCCTCCCTTTCTCTCCCCATCCCTTCCCCCTTCTAAGGTGTCCTCCCTATTCCCCCTTCCCCTTGCTTCCCCTCCCTTTCTCCTCCTTCCAATTCCCTACCACTCCTTCCCTTCCTCCCCCTGTCCCCCCTTGGTCATGCGACACAGCGATTCATGTTCCCCATTCCTTTCTCTTCTCCTTTCCACAATGCCCTCTCCCTCTTCCCTGTCGCCTCCCTTTCCCTCCCCTCTCTGGACACCGTGACACACCATTTCAGTTTCCCCAAAGCTGCTCAAAGTATAGATTCTTCACTTTCAGAACTTCTGTTTAATGTATTTCAAACAATTGAAGCAATTGCTCCTAAATACTGTATTTCATGCGATATAAGACTTTGATGGTAAAGAACGCTGCATATTTTCTTTTACACTCGATGGCAATTATCCTATTGCAAAACTATTGGCTACAAGAAGCACCCTACAGTAATGGTGAAAAGCTATCGAAAAATTGACTATCGATAGTGCTATCGAATGTCCACTATCGATAGCTGGCTCTCGGTGTTACAAAAAAGAAAGCACAGCCCAAAACGATGACGGATATGTACGAGCAGGCAACGCGAGGCTCTGGGCAGAACGTGAAATAGAAAGGAAACTAAACATAAAGTTGAATTAACATAGAATAAATTTACAGCTAAACAGAGATGGCGTTTTGCTACTTTTGCTTTGCAGTACATATTTTGTATATTCCTCGGGTTCAGATATCACACATTTTTGAAAAACCGGAAACGACGTTCGAAAAATATGGCAAACACAAAACGTATCAATTTCAGACGTTGACGCGTTTTGTGTTTGTCCCCTTTCTCGTCCGTCATCTCCAGTATTTTCTTTTTCTTCAAAAAATGTGTAACATAAACCAGCTCGCGTGTCTACACATTCTATCTTCATTCAGGTATCAGGCTTCGCACTTTGACAGGCCCGCATTTGTAAAAATAGAAAGTATGTTCGGTTTTTTTTTTTTTTTTTTTTTTCTTGGAGCTAGGGAAAACACTACTCGCTGAAGATATTTAGCATCGAAGTTTTGCACTAGTTTGTTTAACGCTTTTGTTTGTTTTATTATTCAATTATTACATATTGCCTTCCGTAGTCTTGATCACTAAAAAATAAAAATAAAAACTCTGCTTTTTTTTTTTTTTTCTTATGACGATTCAAAGCTATTTTCTGAAAATTAAGAACTATAGACGGTCGCAGCTCAAGAGTGAAATGGAAGTTCCACCCACCCCTTTCCACGTCACTTTTAACCTGTCACCGACTATAGCTGTTGACAAAAACGGTTACGCTGCTTCGCCATGATATGTTGTCCTTTTTTGTTCTGTTCTATTTTGACCTATTTTGATAACGGAGGCTGGTTCAAATTAAACACTACCAGATAAAAAAGCGTATACCAAGCCAACGTGGTTAGTTGCCGATGCTTTAATCTGCTTCATTCTTAAATTACAATAAGTTTGGGGTCATAAACCTTAACTAGGTCAAAAATAAAAGTTAAAAACGAACGCTTACCATGATTCAAGTAAAAATATTGTTAGCAAACAAAAAAAAAGTATTTTAGAAAAAAAAAATAATAACTTGTGAGTTTGAAGGACATTGTTTTCTTCCTTGCTAGGAACCTGTCCGGTCGAAAGACACGCCACATTTATATTTTCATCTGTACAACTTCATAACTCATGCCCCCATAATGCGATGCGTAATTTTATTATCAGATGAAACAAAGGTGTTTAGGGGCGAAGCGTATATAACCACGTTCCATACCACACATTCTCTTTCTGACATGGATGAAAACGAACGAAAGGCTCGGCATGCTGCGGCTCACCGTCTACGCAGACAAGCACCACCAGAGCTTTGCCCCAATCAACATCGTTCACCACGTGGAGATGCGGTCAATTTATTTTCCTGATTGAGTTCTGTCTATAAATGCAAAGTACAAACTCCCAAAAAGGGCGAAGCGTATATAACCACGTTCCATACCACACATTCTCTTTCTAACATGGATGAAAACGAACAAAAGGCTCGGCATGCTGCGGCTCACCGTCTACGCAGACAAGCACCACCAGAGCTTCGCCCCAATCAACATCATTCACCACGTGGGGATGCGGTCAATTTATTTTCCTGATTGAATTATGTCTATAAATGCAAAGTACAAACTCCCAAAAATCAATCTAAAAACAAGCAGAGAAACTAAGGGAACCTATGGAGAAAATATAATAAATATTTCACTATCGACATATTTTATTCGCAGTTTCTCGATAGTATATAGTATATACAATCGTTATTTTCTCGATTGTTTATGGTCAATAGTTTCTAGACAGAATTTACACCGTTTTCTTATCATTTTCCAACGGGTTATAGATGTTTTCCTTATTAATTTTCTGGAAGTTCTCCGAACTTCACATTTTCTACATAAACTCGAGGCTTTTTTTTTTCACTAAATTAAATACTATTTACAGTTTTATGATAGTCGACTACCCACGGTACTAGTTTTGTTAGTTTTTGCACTGTAATTAGGTAGACTTGGCTTCCATTTTCGATAGTATCGATAGTTTTGCACCACTACCCTACAGTCAGTGACAGTCTAATAAACGCATAGTGTGGCGAGTACCGGACATCTTGTTATCTCTCCGCAGCCAATGAGATTGCGCCATTCGCCGATAAGAGCTCCAAAAAACGAATCACGAGACAAGAAGAGCGAAGATAATAAACCATGCGTTTCTTGGGATGTGCGTGGCTATATAGACGCTCGCAGCAGCTGTGCACGGGTGCCGCTTTAACGGGCCTTCAGTTTTTGTTTCCTCTTATTTTGTTGACTTCACTTCATCATTACCATAGCAGGCCAGGTTATTGCCATTTCAGATTCTACTGTGTCCTTCTCCCCAGCATTGGCCTTTGTGGAGTCTCTTCAATGGCCGTTTCAGTAACTCAGTAAGAAAATTGGAAACTTTTTGCGAACCATTACCGTGTTTCCGATGGTGCGGTATACGCGGGACATAATAACGGTTTGCTAAAACTCCCCAATGTCAGCCATAGCGGATGTAATCTGGCGCGTGTGCAAAGCGTCTATATACGTGCACATCACGTACCGATGTTTTCATCGAATCGTCGCAGAACAGTATGGCTTCGCGACTTAAAGGGGCCATGAAACGATTTTTCTACTTTTGTTATATACTACTCAAAATCACTCCCTAACATTAACAACCGAATAACCTTGTCTTTGTTTTCCTTCTAAGCAATGACAGTCGGCAAATAAATTCGAGAAATATGAGCATCTTGCATCCCCTCAACTCGGAGCCAAAACAATCGGCGACGTGGCCTAGTGCCTATCGTATGCCGCCAACGCTAATCAAAGTCACGCGCTGCATGGGGTCGGCAAAGTAGAAAACGCGCGCTGAGCTCCAGCGCGCGTTTTCTACTTGCTCGTGTCAGGACGCAATATGCTAGATCGCCGTTCGTTTTTAGAATGCGGTTCTCGTCGGACAAAATGCTCGTGTTGGGCCATGCTCACATGTCTACTAACAGCGTGATGTCGATAGCTAGGGGCGTATGAGAAGTGAGGGAGGGCAGGGGGGGGGGGGGGGGGGTCGCCATGGTCAGAGTTTGCCCAGGGCGCTTGATGGCGTAGGGCCGGCACTGCCAGGCATTGTTGGAGTTCGGCGATTCTCGTCATCGCAGTGGTTAGACACGAGACACTACCGAGTGTCCGCCGATGCATCGATTTATACGATTCGAAGTCGAGTGCTCACGGAGCTCTCGTGTCCAATTCATGAGGCGCGCTCGACTGTCGTCAGCCGGGTGGTTTCGATCCCCCAATTACGTCATCGATCTTTACGAAGGCAAGACCTGAAAGATCTAATCCCCTTTCATCCAGTGGCGGATCCAAGGGGGGGGGGGGGGCGGTGGGGCCGATTGTCCCCCCCCCCCCAAACGCCTCTTTAGGCAACCCCCCCCCCCCCCCTCCCCGGGGTTCTTCGTCAGCTCGAAGAAAAAACGTAAGCAATCGACGCGAGGGACAAAAGATTAAAACAGCGGTGGGTGGACGCGCCTGCTGGGCGCTTCCAAAGTGGGGTTTATCTCCGTCAAGGTCACGGTACGTCTTCCCGACAGGCATGGCGCCAGGAGTTTCGAAGTGGAGAAACAGTGGGTAGGCGCACCAAATATCAGGGTCCTCGACTGCAGCACACTTCCAAACAAGGCCAGCACGTCGAGCACGGGGGGAAAATACCTTCAACATATCTAGTCCCCTTTCTCTCTCTCTCTCTCTCTGTCTCCCTCTCTCTCTTTGGAGGTTGTCTGCGAAAAATTTGTGCCCTGAAAACTCCCAAACGCAGACGCCAAGCAGCCTTCCGGATTGTCCTTCCTCTCTAACGGCAGCCTTTTCATCACTTTTCGTTTGATGGTTTCTTCATGGTTCTGGGCTAGTCTTTTGGCATGTCTTTTTTGGCTTGCTTTGAGATGCTGTCGCCCACGGGCTCACTAAAGGTATCTTATTGGCACGGTGTGCTCATTGCCAAGGGAAGTGCGGAGGGGACGTATTAGGAGGAGACGTTCCAGGGGGGGAGGGGGGGGGGATGCAGCTTGTACAACCAGGTAACCAATTGCTTTTCTTCTCAACTGAGAGAGGAAGCAAATGCTCTGGGTACAGTGTAGTCTGGGTCTGAGCTTCTCCTGAAGACGCTCCGGACTTCCCCACGACCTTGGCTTAAACAACAGCCCGCTTTCGTCCTCGCCTCCATCCCTCACCGAGGATCAGCGCCGCAGCGCGGAATACAGAAAGAAGCCGACGAGCGTCAGAAGGGGGAGATGTTTCCTCTAATGGGCTTCATACTGCCTGCGGGACGACTTCTCGTGGTGGGAAGCTACTAAAAGAAAGATAAACGGTGCGAGCACTCTAAAGGCTGGAGGCAGCTTACACGGGGTCCTCAAGCCGACGCCGTAGGCATTTATTTGTATACAATGCCGTTTAAACTTAGGGTGGCGGGACATATTTTAGGAAAGGTGCCCGCTACCCCTTGTCTCCCCTTGGCACCGTCTTTAAGGCTCGTTCACACTCTTGCAACCGAGTACGACCGAGAGAGACAAGACCAGTTTTTAATCGTCTTGCGACTCCTTAGGACCAGGCGCGCTGCTGCGGGGCTGGTCCTAAGACGTCGTAAGAAGATTAAAAACCGGTCTGGTCTCTCTCGGTCGTACTCGGTTGCAAGAGTGTGAACGGGCCTTTACTTTTCGAGTTAAGGCCCGTTCACACTCTTGCGACTGCTTGCGACCTCTTAAACCTGGGTTCCTTAAAACTTCTTAAACCAGAAACACACTGGCGCCATCTACTGGCAAGCAGTGTAAACTCGGCGGTCCGGCATATATTTTTTTTATTTCTCGCGCAATATCCTTTTTTTTTTTTTGGCTCGAAAAACTTTTGTCAATGTTATAAACGAGCCTTTCTATGGGTATTACGCACATTTGACCTCGGAAATCCCGCAAAACCTTCGCTTTTGTGAAATGCAGTTCTAGGGTCACCGCATAGATGGCGCCACAATGTCAGTGTGTTCCCTCATTCTAGAAACATTTAAGAAGTTGTAAGAGATCTCGTCGTACTCGGTCGCAAGAGTGTGAACGGGCCTTTATACGCGGCTTCTGTGGATTGACGGCAGAGCTTTCGCGCGGCTTTGCAGGAGCGAATATGTGTGTGTCGAACGGTACAGAGGCGGGGGGGGGGGGGGGGGGGGGGGGGGCATGCTGGTTTGCAACTGCGGCTTCGAATTCCCTACTTAGGGACTTGGGGAAAACGAGCCCTTTCAAAGATGCGACTATACATAAATTAAATAGACAGTACCTGTGCCCGTTCGAGTGAACACCGACTCCCAAAAATCCATGCTGCAGTCGTGATCGGCCTTTAGCCCAGTTGAGATTCGCCGACCGGACAACCGCTCTGCCCCATCATATCTCGGCGCCTGTCCTCTCGACCCTGACGAATGAGCTAACTTAGAAACAAGTAAGTGTTCCCTTCATACAGAAAATATCCAGACGAAGTGCAATTGAATATAATTTGCAAGGATCTATTGCTGGTTTCAGGTCTTGTCTATGTTTAAAAGTTATAGTTGCCGAACTGCAACCTGTTTTAAAAAATATTCAACAATTATTCGCTTTCGTTCTCTCGAGTTGCATCCAGAACACGTGAAAACACGCAGTTTGGGTTGGCAATGCCGCATGTGCTGCGCTCTGGACATTCAAAATATACGGCGAACAACCGACGAACTTGCCTGGCAGCGTTCATTTCGCTCGCTGCGTTAACAGTGTTTTGAAAAAGACGTCGTCATGAGACGTCGTCGTGTTACTTCCACCCAGTCTCAAGTGCTCTAAAAAATAGTGCTTTGACGCCGCGAGCAGCGCCGAAGCCGCCGGGCCATTTTTGTCGCTTGTTTGCAACGTACTCGCTCCATTGAAGCAACCGGCGACAATGAAAAATATGTTTTAAAGCCACGTTCAGCACTTTGGCACTGAATATAAAGTTCTAACTACTATGCCAAGCTTAATCTCAAAGAGCAGCCGAGTTTTAGATTAAAACGTTTTTCGCATTGTCATTAGCTGCGTGAGCTTCTTCCGTATAGTTGGCAAAGGTTGGCTCTCCGTACATGTTCTGCGGGTGTAACGAGAATATATAAATATTCAAGCAAAAGGAGCCCAAAAGTTGCAGCCCCGCCGGGGACATCTGAGCCATCAAGTTACACTGTCTACGATTGTCACAGCCGCTATAGTACCAAACATTCATCCCCGGTAGTTAAACTTCTTTTTCTATTTCTAGCGCGCTGCCACGCGAATGGAGTAATCCTGTTTCCTATAAACTACAAAATTCTTTGCGTTATGGTGTTCAGAAACGATAGTGCCACCACAATTTTCTAGATACTTACCTCTAGCATGGACACCCGAAAGAATTCATCCCCGACCGACAGGTAAACCGATACAAAAGGTCTGAAGATCTATATTATGTTATCAGAGTTCAGTAAAAACGATAACTCCACAAAAATAAAAACACTCACCCCCCCCCCCCCCCGCCCGCCCGCCGTTTTACACCGAGGAACCGCCCCCCCCCCCCCCTAAAATGGAGGTCTGGATCCGCCCCTGCATTCATCCTCGAAATTTCACCGCGACAAAGAATCTTCTGAATCAGTGGCGGTCTGTGCGAATATACTTGTGCCAGACGAGGAGCAATACGCCTCAGCAAAGTCACGAACATTCCAACCCGATATTGTTTCGTGACCCCTTTTAAGCCGCAGGCACACTATACTCGTACATCGTACAAAAGACACGGCGTTCGCTGCACACACGATTGCAGAATTATTTACGGACACGCCTCCATCACGTTCAAAGCTCGTCTGCTTCACGCATGTGAATGTTTCGAACACGCCTGCAGAGTTATTTTATGTCCAATCTGGCCGGAACGTCACACGAGCAAGAAACACGCTTCGAACAGTCTTTTTTACGATGCATCAACAGCGTGACGGCGGCTTGAAGAACGGGGATCTGTCCGTCGTTCCAGGTGGGTCGGACGCAACTGGCAGGACCAGTTCTACTGGGGCGGTGCGGAGACGGACAGCCGGAGCTGCGGCTGCCACCCGCACTGCCTGCGCACTCCGCGCAACTCGACGTGCAACTGCGACGCCAACGTGAAGCAGGTGTGGCTCGAGGACGCCGGCCTCCTGCTGGACGCCAGCAGGCTGCCCGTGCTCCAGCTCCGCTTCGGCGACACCGGCGAAGCCAACGAGGCCGGCAAGCACACTCTGGGACCCCTGGTCTGCAGGGCCACCGGACACGTGGGTCAGTGCCCCCGCGGGGACGTCCGCCGCCAGCGGCTTCCTTTGGCCGACCCGCCGATTACGAACAAAGCCTGGCACTGCGCGTGCGCAGATACTAGATTAGAAGGAGATGTCTGCGCACACGATCGTCTTTTAAGCTATCCGTGACTGTCAAAACTCGACCGCTGAGTCGGTTGCTATAACCTACGTACAGATGTTTGGGAGGAAGCTCACCAAGCGTGTCTGCGATTCATTTGGTACCTTTCACAGTTTTGTTCGAGTCGACGCTGCTAGTACACAAGACAGCCTGCGGACACTGTCTGAGTCGTGTGTCACATTGGTCACACTGTCTACAGACATTTTGAAAGCAGACATGTATGCTAACACAGGCACGTAGCCAGGATTTTGTTTCGGGGGGGGGGGGGGGGGGGGGGGGCGTTCATGACAAAATGCTGTATGAGGGGGAGGGAGAGAGGAGGACCCAGCAAAAAGAAAGATTTCGGGTTGGGGGGGGGGGGGGGGCGGCCCAATGCTCCCCCCTCCCCCCAAAAAAAAGTTTTATGTGACCAACCTGTGGAATATAACAAACTTAAAAAAGAAATAGCAATCAACTTAACAGAGAACGTATATTTTAAAATAAAATATAAAGTTTAATATGGTACTATTTTCATGTGTTATGAAAACTGAACCACGTAAACTACCGTATTTGCCCGAGTATATTTTAAAATAAAATATAAAGTTTAATATGGTACTATTTTCATGTGTTATGAAAACTGAACCACGTAAACTACCGTATTTGCCCGAGTATATTTTAAAATAAAATATAAAGTTTAATATGGTACTATTTTCATGTGTTATGAAAACTGAACCACGTAAACTACCGTATTTGCCCGAGTATATTTTAAAATAAAATATAAAGTTTAATATGGTACTATTTTCATGTGTTATGAAAACTGAACCACGTAAACTACCGTATTTGCCCGAGTATATTTTAAAATAAAATATAAAGTTTAATATGGTACTATTTTCATGTGTTATGAAAACTGAACCACGTAAACTACCGTATTTGCCCGAGTACCCCGCGCTGTTTATGAACCAAGCCATTGGATTTGCTTTCCCGCGGAGCACGGGGGATAGAGAATCACCGCGATTGGCAGAAAAATGGCATTGATTTACGGGACAGAGATCACGTCTTCGCGCCAAGGTGCTATTCATCTGCTTAGATCGCAATTTTACGGGGAGTCGCGTCCTCGACCAATTGTTATTCGCTGCGTTTTTTTTTTTTTTTTTTTTCTTTTTGGCTGAACGCGATGATTGGCTTTACGCGTTTTTTGCAGGCAAGTGGACGCAAAGGCTTTGTTCATAAGAAGTGCGGCTATTACTTGAGCAAACACGGTAATAACAATTACGAGGCAAAATTACGAATCATATTTCGATATTACATTTTCTAGAACTTGCATATCGATGGATTACGCGTGAAGCTCAGTTTTCAACCTCAAACGTTTCTCATTCAGTCACGGCTAGTGTCAGTTTCTGAATATTGTCACGAATGACAGGCAGAAGGCAGGAGAAAACTCAATGAACTGAAGATTTAAGGTGGGGGGAAGGGGGGCGGAATTGTGCCAAAATAAAAAAAGTACGATAACTGGGCATCACAGGCGTCGAGCAGCAGGATCGAGCGCTGGCGAAAGGCTATAGACGGAGCGCGCTGCGGCTGCTTTTATAGCCGCTTCGGACTAGAAGCTCAGCCTTCAGCGCGAGCTTTCTGCCCTGCTAACACAAGTTTGAACACGCAGGCACGCTCAACCAAGGCGCTGCGGAAGCAAGCGAGGTCGCGCCAAAGGCGGACCTTCCAGTCTCAGCTTAAGGATGACCGGAGTATAATCTAGAACACACAACAAATAACAACAATGATCTGGAACGTTCCAGAGCAGGAACAAAAGGGAAAGCTAATGTAAACTGCGGGATTCTTACCCCGGTATTCGGCGTAGGGACCGCACGCCCTGCCCCCTCAGCTATGCCCGCGGCAATATCAAATAAAGATGGCGACACGTGTTCAAAGATGGCTGAATGTGCAAAGAAACTCCAAAACTGCAATCCCCACAACTTCGTCGTCTGGTTTTGCGGTGAGATCGAAAGAAGGCGTTCGCTTTTGTCCTTGAAATTACGTTGCGACAAATAAGCATCTTTGTCAGTGATGTTGCGTGCGAGTATATTTGGGTCGCACTAGCAATAAGTTTGTGTAAAGTGATAAACATTCCTACCCAATACTAGGAGCGATTTTTTTTTTAAATCTTGGCACTACGTTTTGTTATGTTTCAGCGTAAGATTTTTGTGCCATTCCTACTTTACGTTTATTATATATAAATATCTACAGCTGGGGTTAATTTTAGGGTTTTTCTAGTCTCGTAGGTTTGGTAAAAATAAATACCCCAGTGAGCTAAAATTAAGCATCTGACTAAAAAACTTTTTTTTTTATACTTGAGGTATTTTATCCATAAAGCTATAATTCCGGAAATCCACGTCTGTCACGTCATCATGTTTTTCTGAAAATTAGAAAGGGCCAAACACATTGCACGACAAAATGACCGAAACGTCAGACGCATTTTACTTACCCCTTTGAAATGTGCGGAATCGGCCTTCGAGATTCCCGGTGTGCTTATTGCATGCCGGCAATCTAAAACGTTTTCGTCACGTCGGTTGTTTTGTCGTGCGTGTGTCTCGCCATTAACGCAGGACGCACTGTGGCTCAGGACCATTTGCGCGTTTTGGTCTTACTACATTTAAGGCCCGTTCACACGATGCATTTTTCTAACGCATCTAGTGTCGCGAAACGTAGTTTCGCGAAATGGTTGCGCCGTCTGAACGGGTCCGAAAGGGACGCGCGCATCTGAAAAACGTTGCGCGCACACATCGCTTCTGGAGCGAGCTTTTGCTGAAACTTTGCCGAGTCCTGTCAATCACTCTGAGGGCGCCGCCAATGGCCGCTCAGAAAAGCTCTCACGTGGCCTTTGAGGGGGGAGCGAGCTGTTTGAGAAGACCACTTCACTGCCGGCGTTGTAGCCGAGCCAAATACGAAAAAAACCGAAACCACGAACGATGGATACTGCCTCCGCTTCCGCAAGCACGTCAATATCCACTGAAGGAAAAGTGAGTAGCATATCGAAAAAAAATCCAGCGATGGACGAAGACGTAATTGGTGATGATGATAATTCGCGTGTATTTTTAGTCATAATTAAGAAATAAAACCTTGAGACAAGGGAACAAAAAGGTACGTACACAGTACCGTTTTAAAACCAGCACAGCGTACAGCTCTCATTTACTTCCACAACAGTCTTCTTCTTTGTCAACCTCCATCCAAATTATACATATTCAACAGTAAATAAAGTAAATGGCAGTAAATGACAATTAAACAACTAGTAAATGACAATTTAAGAGTAAATTAAGTAAATGGAAGTAAATGACAGCTGTATGCTGTGCTGGTCTTAAGACGGTGGTGTGTATGTCCCTTTTTGTTTCCTTGTCTTAAGGTTTTATTTCTTAATTATAATTGTTCACCAGCTCGCTTGCGTTTTGACTCTTTGAATGCGGCTGGAGATGGAGAACACGACGCTGAATGGCTAATGGCGATGATGATGATGTTGGCTTTCAACTGAAGCGCCACTTTATGGTCAACAAACAAACTATTTTCGCGAGTCTAAACGTCATCGTTGTTGCACGTGAAGCGGTACGTGTGAACGAGCACATTTCGCGAAACTTGAGTGTCGCGAAACTGTTGCGCGCCTAAAAGATGCATCGTGTGAACAGACCTTTACTGGAGACGCAAGCTCATTGCTGCAACTGCTTCCTTTGCACGAGAACTGGTGCAGCTGGGTTGCGTTCCACATAAAGCTCGCACATAGAGAAACGAGTAAACGACGAGGAATGCCTATTTCAGGAAATAAAAAAAATACCACACTGTATGGAAGGACGCGCCACCACATACGGTTTATTCCGTTAATGCACAGGTCTGGAAGGCGATCCTGTCGCTATTTGTTGGTTCAGAACCACGACTAACCAAGGCTGGGAATTCACCTTAAGTTTATAGTCTCATAGTTTCTTTGAATCTGATGTATGACTAGTAAAAAAAAATGTGTGGTAAATTGCTAGGCAAATGTGTTGCATATGTGAAACATTGTAGCATCAGAAACGTTTAGCGATACTACGTTCACGGCTCTCTTCGTCAGATAATTTAACGCGTGGCATATGGAACCTTCTAACCAGCTCCTCCTCTCCCTACTCGCCTACCTCTCCTCCCCACTCGCCCCCCGGTCACACGATCTCCCCGTTAACCAATCAGCGTCGAGCACCTCGCTCCTCCTCTCCCACCCGACAACGAATCAGTGTCGAGCCTCCCGGCCATGCTTTTATTCAGGCTTCACATTTGGACTTCACGAAATGCTGAACAGCTAGCCAAAGAGGTACGTTTCACGTTAATAACAACGTGTCTCGTCCAAATAACATGCCTGTTTATATTACGCTCATAAAAACGTTTGCGAGATTCCTTCCTTGCAGACCACGGAAGCAGCGAATCACGGCAAGCAGTAGGAGGATCCCAGCAAATGGCGAGGCCCAGATAACGATTCAATATCAAAGGTGCGATGTGCGCAGGGGCATTAAGCGAGCGAAACATCGTTCTCAACATTGTCCCTCCGTACATCGCTTTTTTTTTTTTTTTTTTGTCTAATTTTATTTCGCGTTTTGATCCTTTCCCAGGGTCCTCCGATTGTTCGCCGTGCTTGGCAGTGCACGCGTTCTGTAGAAAAGTGAACTCGCGCAGGTTTTCTACACTGTACAGGAACCTTGACTTTTTTTTTTCTTTGCTTTTTGAATTGTTTGGGCTTTTGATTTGCTCAGTCGAATACACACAAAACAGACCTGTTGCTAAATTCCCCAAGCATCAAGGGGAATCCGGGGAATGTAGGTCTACGCGCTGCACGTCTGCGGCTGTAACTATTCTAAAGCAAAAACCTAAAACAAATG